TATTTATTATTGAAAATTGCATAAAGTGATATTTTTTTATATCTACTTGTCTTCGTTGTTCTAAACCCTTGGGACTCCACAACCCCGATAGAACCTCGTTACTCACGATTCAACCAAACACCAAATATCCAACGTTAATCAAAATACCCATACATTCATACAACCTTTACAAACATTTTCACCGTATATAATTTATTTTTGTTATTTTAAATTATAACAAAATTTACCCTATATGCAGAGTCCATNACAAAATTTACCCTATATGCAGTCCACTAAAATATATACAGAATAATTTGGTCATTGAACCAGTGCCAAAGTCTTGATATTATATTGTAATACTGGTCATTATTATTAATAACTTGATGATTATGTTGACTTCGCCAAAATTAAAAATTATAAAATGTTCACATAAATTTAGTAGTGCACAATAGGTATTTAAAGTTTTCATAAACATTAAATTAGAAAATCATTTGATCTATCGATTAATGTAATACACCTTAAATTAAAGCTTATGTAATATACTTTAATTTGACAAAAAAAAATATTGACATCTCGAATTGCCTTCATAGTGAAAATAACTCCGTTGTCAAAAACACGTTACTTTTGTGTTAAAATTCAGGGTTTTGTGTTTTATTTTATTTCAAAATACCTTTCAAGTGGAGTACAAAGATTTTCATAAATGTTATATAAATATAATTGACATAGAATAAAAAGTTAAACATATTTAAATTTTTTTGCTTCTTTTAAGTCGAGAAAAATAACTTTGAAATTGCTATTTTTTGCGTCTTGCAACATACGATTGACGAGTCGGTAAAACTTGTGTCTTACGCGTTTGGGGTACGATGTTCAAACCCGACAGTGACTTTGGATTTTTTTTCTCAATTCTTCTTGAGTCAGAATAATATTTTCAACTCATAGGATTTTTCTCTCATTTAGATTCAATAACTCCAATAAATATCAAGGATCCCATCACTGTAGTCTCACCTCGTGAGAAAAAATGTCTTATTCATGTTAAAATTATTTAAAATAACTTTCGTGTTCAAAAACATGTTATTGTTGTGTTAAAATTCAGGGTTTTGTGTTTTAGAATTGAATTAGTGTATCCATATTCAATAATCCGCGCCAACTTAATTTAGTATTATTATAAAAAAAACCCAGCACAGGGGGGTCGCGGCACAGTGGTGACGTGGTATAGATGGATCAAGTATAATGATATCTGACAG